AACATCACGAGACACCAACGTGGGACGTATGAGTGTCAGGCTACGAATAATCCAAACGAGGATCCAGTTACAACGAGGACCGAAATCTCAGTAAAATGTAAATAATTTTATTTTCTTTGATGACTTTGCATAATATTGTATTAAAATTACTGAGATGTAACTATCCTTCAGAAAAAAAAAGGTAGTGACAAAAACGTCATATAATAAAGTCGACTGAATGACAGACGGGCCCTCCGATCGACGCTTATCATCACTGCTGACACTACCATCAACATATTATCATAACTACTCTTTCTGCTATTATTAATCTTGGTTTATCATCGCTACTTTTTTCTTCAATAGACCCTGTAGAACCAGCGAATGTCTTCGTTTCAGACATCAAAGCAACTTCTGCAGTGATCAAGTTGCACAGTCCCGTTGATGCTGGAGGGAGCCCTGTCATAGAGTATAAAGTCCAAATCAACACAATTCCACCGAGAGAGGTTATCACCGAAACTACGTATTGCGTAACCAAGGATCTTAATGAGAATACAACATATGATGTGAAGGTGTATGCACGAAATGCAGTTGGGTATGGGAAGGCAGTATGCACTGAGTTTACAACTAAAAAACCAAAGATGAAAGGTACATTCATATAAATGAAAGTAAAAAACATAACTTTATAAATATCAGATATATCGAAATCCCTGGCATTGCGACRTCGCGGCCATTATTAGTCACAGTTAACATAAGCGAAAACGTAGTTTAAGCATCGTTTCCAGTGCGCAAGCGATTTTATGTCACATTTCTCTCTTTCTTTTGTTAGTAAACCTTCTTTTGTTCTTGATTAAACAAAAGAAAGTGAGAAATTTGAGATAAAATCGTATGCGTATTGGAAACGGTTCTTAAAATACCATTCTGCTTATTATCTTTGTTATCTTTGGATAAATTTAAACGATCGGGTTTTGCCACAAATTCAAGAGATACGGCCGCCCCTACAAATAAGCATGATGTTACTAACTACTACACTCAAACTCTTCGATTCGTGCATTTGGTGTTCAGCTCGAACAACACTTCCTTCAAAAATTTTTAATTTCATTTTTTTCTAGTCCGGTATCCTAAGAAATCGTGCGTTCTGATTGGCTGTTTGATCGGGCGGTATTTTGTCAGTATCTGCCCTTTGCCCGAGCTCGCGGACCGGTATGCTTTGCCGCTAAACAACAAAACAAAACGATTACAAAAACAAGTAAAACAAAAAAACAAAAACGGGAGAACAATAAATAAGTTATTTACCGTCCTATAGTCGGTCCGGATAGGGAAAAACTGTGCCCTCGGTCTTGATAACGGACCTCGGCCTAACGGCTTCAGTCCGTATATTCAAGACCTCGTACACAGTTGTCCCCTATCCGGACCTCCTGGCCGGTAAATAAAATATATTTACTATTTCGATACATACAAATCGAAATATGGAGACCAGTTCATTTGAACAACTATTTTTCTGGAATGACTAGCCTCATGTTCACTTGGAAGTATAAAACCGTTTTACATGTAAGAGAGGATAGTCATTCCAGAAATAGACATTCAAATTGGTTGCCATATTTATATTTAGTGTATCGTGTCAAAAATCATGTTTTTCTTGACTGCGAGCCAAGCAATCGTGCACTCTTTGTGCTATATTCGACGTCTAATGTTTCAATTTTGCGTTTCAGCTGTAAAAAAAATGGTCTTGAATAAAGATGATACGGATGATATAGTTAGAGTTCAAGTAGCCAGTATATATGCCGGGGTCATTGGTGTGATTATTTGGATTGTACTCATATCTATGGCTATACTGGTAGTGTTTGTAAAGAAAATATGGGTAAAAAAAGGTAGGTTTTACAATTAGAATGACCATCCATTCTTCGTTCCCTCTGTCAGATACGATTCAAATTATTTCGTGCGTATTGAATATATTGTAGCATTATATATTTATATATTAAAATCAGTTAGAAATTAGCTTCATTGTCTTTTTTCAGGAAAGGAGCAACGAAAAGTAAGGTTAGTGTTCTCTAACGAATTGCCATGGATTTGAAGACTTTTATTTATTTATTTATTTATTATTTATTTATTTTTTACTTAACCAT